TCTCCTACGCAATTTTGCGTACGTAAAAAGTATAATTATATTGATTACTCGAATGACAATATTTAATCTTGTTAAAAAATTATATTTAAATTGATAGAAAATTTAAATTTGGCTATATATTTTACTCACCTATGTGAATGCATTCAGGTGATAAACAAATATCATCGTATTTCATTTTGTTTGGTATCATGTTCTTTGATATTTCCAAATCGTTTGACGCCTCGGCTGTAGATAGAATGTCTTTTTACATTAATAGTATCTGTTCTCGTGCGGATACAGATGCGATTGCAGATGTCAGGAAAATTGCATAATAGCGAGAAATTAATGGGTACAAAGCATGTATGATGCACACAAGCCGTGATAAAACTTAAATTGCATACAGAATGAAATTTGTGATTCCTACCGTACGATAGATTTTGTTTTGATATTACATTTAAAATTATAGTTTTATTTTGCAAAATAAGTGATCAGAAAATAAAACATTGTTATATTATATATGTATATATATATATATATATAAATTTTTAATATATATACATATTAAAAATTTATATGCTAAAAATTGAAAAGTTAAAAAGTGCCAAATATACCTGTATTTAGAATTATATAAATTGCATTTTATAAGTGTTCTTCTTTTTCCAAATTCTAGAGATGTTTAAATAATTTGTTTCTCTGTTTTTTTTTTAATGAATGATATATGTTTTATTATCAATCCGAGACAAAAGCATATATAAAAAATAACATTCAATATTTTTAATGATTTATAGGTCAATTCTAAGCACAATCATAAGGTTCGTAATTTGTTCTTGTAAGAGTAAAAATTTAATAAGCATTTAATGACTAAATGTTTATAACTTTACGTAATATCTCTACAGACAACTTTTTGCTAGTCGCAAAATTTACGAGAAATTATGGGTACTTACAAATTATCGTACATCTTACGACACGCAATTACAATTTCAGTTATAAGTTCTTACAATTTTTACAAGAATAACTTAAGCGTTACGATTCGGCTTAGAATTAAAATAAAAAGTAAGAGCAATTTGTTTAAAACTACACATGATTAAAAATTTTTTCGCAATTTCGTAAATTTTTAAAAAGCGCAAAGTGCTGATCTCGTTTCTGTGCTTTTCAAACAATAATGCATTTGCAACATATATCAAAAATGACTCGTTGCATTATAGGTTGCTATAAGAGTACACTTACTGGTCCTGGAAGTGATGTTGCATTTTGTGTTAAGTGCCAAAATTGCGATGGCAACCGCCAAAACGATGCATAAGAGGAACCCGAAAATCGCTATCACCGTTAATCTGCGTTCTAAACTGGATCGTCTTTTTCACCATGTCGAATTTTTACATGAAAAAAGAAATCAAAAAATGAAAATCGTTAAGAATTGACACAATCAAAATTACATTGTTCCTAAAAAAAATATGTTTGGCCTGTTGTTTTTTATTTTCGTATAGGACCGCTGTTACTGTGAACAATTTTTGTTTTTGATAATTATTGTTACTTACCTGATAACGGTTTTTTCCATGTTATTGGTTATCGTGATTGGATTAGTATTCTCTATGTCTTGCTGAGGTGTATCTTTTTTGTGATTCTCACTAGCACATAACCACCTACTCTTTCTGTGTTTTTTCTTTACGTCCCGGTTTTTAATTTGATTCAGAGATTCACAGTCGTTTCTAGAATGTTAACGCGGAGACTTCTCGTGATTCGTGATCGTTATGTTTTTCTCGTTTTCTCAAAATTTATCCATTAACTAGTCGACTCTTTCCGATGGAAATAGAAAAGAGAAGGAGATTGTAGTTTCAAGACTTTTGAAATCTAGATACCATTAAGTTTGGTATCTAGATCTATTAGAATATAATAAAATAAAATTTCAAGCATTCAGAAATTATAAAATTGCCAAGAAGAGGAATTGGTTTGCAAAATTTGCTTAACTTATATATCTATCTATCCATCTTTCTTTTAATTAGATAAAGCAAAATTTAAAACAAACAATTATCAGATTTACTAATTCTATAGTACATTCCTACACAGCCTGGGCATTTTGCTTATATTCTACGATAAATTCTCTTATACTTATGTTATCTCTTTCTTCTTATTCTCAATTATTACTTGCTCTTTGTTCTAAATCGTTTCCTCCACTTAAATTCTCTTATCCCTTCCCTTTTGCTCGTCACTAGATCTGTTAGTATTAGACTGAAGTATTGCACGTGCTTCTGATTGTATATAAACGTCCTCTCCCACCCTACTGATTGTGAGTCATCTCTTCTCTCTCTGTTTCTCTAGTATGCAAGTTCAAGCGTTTTCCAAGTGAAAACATCAATTTCAATCACTTTATGACAATGAATTACTATGGAAATTCGAAGAAATTGTACCCAGCATATTCATTGTGTTATATTTCAAAAGAAAAGGAATTTAAATGTATTAAACAGTGCATGATATCTTAAACAGAACTTTTTTAAGTCTTTATTTTTGAGTTCTTAATATTGTAGGATATATTTGAAGAAATTTTCGCGGTATGTTGTAAAATATTTTCGATGAAATTTGATAAATTCTTCTCTGCGAAAAAACGGAATTTTTTTCTCTTTTTCTTTCTTTTTCTTTTTCCGCTTTGTTCGTTAATTAATTCGCACAAATATTTTTCAAGTTATATCTTTACCATAAATACCGAGGTGCGACTTAATTTTAATGATCCAATCACGTTTCAATAAAAATACAATTAACAATAAGAAATCATGAAAACACTTTGGAGCTCTATTCTTAAAGTCTGAGTTTATGCTTTGCATATTATTGATTCAGTTGATTTGAATATCAAGGAGATATTTCCTAATTAGGATGCTTGAAGAGTCTAATTTGTCGATTCGTTCACGACAATCTGACGCACGTTACAATGGAGCAATTTTGTGAAATCTATTATAACAGAGTGTAAAATTGTAGCCGTTTATAAATTCTGTAATGACGTGTGATATCATAAGACTGTTAACAATGTAATTCATTTGAACGTCCTAAGAATTTGAAATATCAATCCTTAACTACACACACTTAATTTGTGTAAGTATTTTGGCAAAGTATACTGATTATTTATAATTCCTCATTTCTGTAGTTAACATAATAAAAACAATAATGAAATATTATGTATAAATTTATCTTAATGATGTGATTATATTAAATTGGACATGAAATCAAGACACACACGCACACACGCACGCACGCACGCACGCACGCTACGCACGCTACGCACGCACGCACGTCACGCACGCACGCACGCACGCACGCACGCACGCACGCACGCACGCACGCACGCACGCACGCACGCACGCACCACGCACGCACGCACGCACGCACACACACATGCACAGGCACACGAGGGCAAGTCAATAAGTTCTTAGAAAATCTGTCAAAGAGCACTCGTAGTGTTACATTACTTTTTAACAAGTAGCATCTTTCAGCTGATTACTGTAAAATTTTGAGCGGAATTCATCGCATTGTTTCATTTTTGTAAACGATTAATGCGCAAAACCTTTGTATTTTTTGCGAAATGGAAAAAAACGAGTTTCGTATAGTGATCAAACATCTATATATGATAGGTTTAACGCCGAAAGAAATCAAAGCCGAATTGGATAATGTCATAGCACATCTGCACTATCGTTTGCGACTGTATACAATTGGGTGAATGAATTTAAACGTGATCGTACATCCACATGTGATGCACCTCGTTCTGGACGTCCAATTGAGGCTGCTACGCCAGAAATCATCGATAAAGTTTTGACGATATTGTTTTAACTGATCGACGAATGAAAATGCGCGAGCTTGTTGAGGCCACAAGCAGGTCACATGGCACAGTGATTTCAATTTTGCACGAACAATTGGGTATGAAAAAGCTATCGGCAAGATGGATGCCGCGTTTGCTTACTGTGGATCATAAGCGCGATCCCGGCATCGATGGTTCAACGAATCCCGCTACGAATTGCTTCCCCATCCAGCATATTCGCCAGATTTAACCCCCTGCAACTATTTCCTGTTTCTAAACCTGCAGAAATGATTCAGAGGAAAGAGATTCACTACCAGAGAGCAGCTCATCGCCGAAATAGAAGCTTATTTTGAAGGGTGGACAAATCATATTATTTGGACAGCTTGAAAAAGTTGGAGAATCGTTGGATCAAGTGTATTGAGCTAAAAGGAGATTATGTTGAGAAATAAAAATGAAAAAAATGTGTTTTACTATGTTTTTATAAAAACTTATTGACTTGCACTCGTATATATATATATATATATA